TATCTAATTGTATGGAAATCTGTTCTGATTTTATAGTACGTACTATAAATTGTGCACCCGTGTTCAGGAGCTATTCAACCGGCAAGGTTTGTGGAAATAACTCATTTAGTGTTTCTGTCATGTACATACGGTATGTATTTGTATTACACATACTAGAAAATTGTGCACCCCGTGCATCGCACGGACTCTATACTAATAAATGACCTTAAAATTGTGCACCCCGTGCATCACCTGTGTTCACATTTGGCCTATTACAAGTGACGTACAATAAGATTTGATAAATAGCCTTAATTTTGTGCACCCGTGCATCGCACGGGATCTGTACTAGTTTATATTACATGCATTAGAAAAAATTTCTCCACGTGTCACAACTGATAATAGTTTTTTAAGCAAAAATAAATTAATAATTATGTGGGTCAGAGCTTAATGTAAGCGCAATGCTCATAAAATTAAATTAATAACAGGTAGGCAACCAACAATCAAGAACCGCGATTTACATATTTTTCAAAGTATTGTATAAAAATGAGATGAAAAATAAAAAACTTTTAAAATAAAAGATGTATATTTAAAATTGTGAATGTTTAAAAATAATAAAATATTATTTAATAATAAAATGTATACTAATAATTATTTTCTTATTTTTTAATTGTATTTCTAAAACTATTGAAGACGGAAACAAAAAATATTTTTACAAAAGTATTTTTTATCTTTTTTTTTGCGATTTTTTATCTTATTTTTAATGATATATATATATATATATTAACTAAACAAATAAATAAAAAATCGTGTACACAACCTAAGGACGAGATTGGATATAAACAAAATTGGTTTTCATCGAATTTATTAGTTAAAGTAGTTAATTTTGAATAAAATTTATTGAGGGGAGACTTGAGTGAGATTGAGTGAGATTTTGAGTTTGTATTATAATAATATTTAAAATATAATAATTAAATGTGATGTGAAAATAAGAGAATGGTTATTGAAAATAATACATAGTTAAAAAACTTTGTACTAAAAGTTGGCCTAGGTGCAGTGGCGAAACCAGTCGGTCATCCCGGGGAGGGCCTAATTTGCTGCGGCGCACCACCCCCATTCCGGCCATCCCGCGGTGCACCACCCCCACTCCGGCATCGGAAGGGCGCTCAAAGGGCTTTTGTGGACGCTCTCAAAAATTTTTGCAGGATATAAAGGAATACTCTAGAGATTTTTCTAAAAATCAAACTAAGTCCGGAATTAAACTGGTATACTTAAACTGAATTGTTTTAACTTAAAAAATACTCGAATTTATACTAATAAAAATCTCGGACTCAATTATAATAATAATAATCAAGAATTATACCTCCTTTCGAATAGACGAAAAGCTGAAAAGATTGAGAAAACGAAGCCTCGAACGATCGAACTCGTCCTCGACAAATTTGCTCCTTTTGATACTATTTAACGCATAAATTCAAACTCCCATAATAAATACTCGAAACTCCGAAAAATGCGAAATTTGTCCGTATGAAATCGTGCTTAAATTGTCTACACGCTCTAACTCGATTCTCGTTAAACCGAGGTCACACGCAACCTTACGGAACCCCGGAAAACGGCTTTTTATTCTTCTATTATGTGCACTCGACTTCGAGCTTCTCAAAATAAATGCTCGAAACTTCGAAACGTGAAATAAATTTTACGAACGACTTCTACTGTTCTCGTGCTTTCAAGAAAGCACTCCCGCTAATTTTCAACACGCCTAACGAGGGCCGACGATTACCCGAAGTCTAGACATGAAAATGACAATAAAATCACCGCCACTGCTATTTTTCTCCCAACTTCGGACTACCCAAAATAAATGGTCGGGACCTTAAAATCATAAATCGATGCCACCAACGCACTCTCCGCTTCCCGTACTTTCATAAAAGTATTTTTCGGTAATGATCGACTCGGTTTTTGAGTCCCGTCGGTACATCGCAAGTCGGCTAATTAACCAACTCAAAATATAATAAAAATGAAAAAAATATTAAATTCTGCTGCTGTTATAGTTCTCCTTGTCCCGAAACCAGGATCCCGTTTCGGGGATGGCCAAATTTGCCTTTAAAAAAAATTTTCACGACAAAACTGGTGGCGCCCCTCCGGCCATGTATGTACCGCATGAAACTGGGGAGGGCCCAACATGCGCGCTCAAAGAAAAATCTTCCAGTTCCAGCAAAATCCTCCACCCCTAGTTTAATTTTTTTTTTTTTTGAGGG